AAAAATGAGTGGTTGTCCATCATTTTGTAAAATGATTTCAGTTTCTTTGATATGTATTAGCCTGCCCCAGATTTCCATTTCTTCTGTCAGATTGACAAATTGCATTTCTGAAAAATTTACCCATTTTATCCAAATTGCCAAGTTTATTGATATGCTTATAATATTCTTTTATTATCTTTTTAGGTTCTGTAGGATTGTTAGGGGTGTCCTCTTTTTCATTGGTGATAATGGTCATTTTATTTTCTGTCATCAATCTTGCTAGGAGATTGTCAATATGTTGGTTTTCTAATTCATTGATTTCTGCTCTTGATTCATTAATTTTCTTCTACATTCTTTAGGATGGATCTACTGTTCTGTCTCTAGCTTTTTTGAGATGGAAATATAAAGTTGATCTTTAGTTTTTGCTCTGTTCTAAGAAACGATTTTTATGACAATAAATTTCCTCCTAAGAATTGCTAGCATCCAAGGAGTTTCAAAATTATATATTCACAATCAACCAGCTCAATATATTTTCTAGTTTCCATTTTCTAGTTTCCATTTGTACCTCTTTTTTGACCCCTGGATTATTTAGAAATGCAGAGCTTAATTTCCCTCAGTTGGGATTTTATAGTAATATCTGTTTCATTTATAATTGATTTACATTGTAGTCGGAAAATGTACTCTTTGATTTTAATCATATGAAAGTTGATATTCTATTTGTACCTGGAAATAATGTGATTCTGTTTGTTCTTGGGCACCATGTTCTACTTCAATGAATTCAGATTTGTTGATTGTGTTGTATAGGTCCTCTGTATTGCTACTGATACGTGTTTTTTGTTTTTTATTTATTTATATTTTAAATATTTATTTATTTATGCATACAAGTGCTGGGGTGTAGGCCAGAGGTACGGGGTAAGGGGGGGGCTGGTGAGAGGATTCATCAGAGACAGAGTGGGAAGTAGAACAGGTGGATCCACCAAAATACACTGCTGAGGGGAGCAGCAGGTAAGACAGGAGAGATCTGCTGCGCCATGTGGTTCACCTCCCTGACTGACCAGGGAATCGAACTTGTGCTGCAATGGCTGGTGACAGCTTGACAGTGCTGTCTTTAACCCCTGTGCCACCAGGGAGGCCCACTACTGATATGTGTTGATCTATTTGTTTTATCAGCTGTTGAGAAAGATTTGTTACAGTCCTTCAATATAGTTGTGGAGAATTTAATTCTGTCCATTTTTTGCTTGATAGGTTGTTATTGGATACACACAAATTTAATTATGCTATTTTTGGTTGGATTGCCCTTTTGATTTTTACAAAACATCCCTTTTTATCTTTTATAATACTTCTTACCTTAAAATCTTAGTCTGGTATTAGTGTAACAGCACCAGCTTTGGAGGTTAGGTTTGCATGGTATTTTCCTCCATCCTTTTCCTTTCAATATGTCTATGTTCTTTTTTTTTTTTTTTAAGATTTATTTAGTTAGTTATAAAAGAACCGGGGTACAGGCCAGATGCGCAGGAGGGTGAGAGGATTCACCAGAGACAGAGCGGGGAACAGAACAGGCAGACTGACGAAATACACTGCTGAGGGGAGCAGCGGGCAAGACAGGAGAGGTCTGCCACTCCATGTGAGACCCTCGCCGGCTGGCTGGGATTGAACTGGTGCTGCAGAGGCTGCTGACAGCCTCACAGCGTGGTGCTCAACTGCCTGCGCCACCAGGGGAGGCCCCAATATGTCTGTGTTCTTATATTTAAAGATTGTCTCCTATGAGCATGTTAACACACACACACACACACACACACACACCCCTCATTGGATAATTCTAGGTATAGAACTCTAGGTTGACAGTTAATTTTCTTCAGCACTTTAAAGATGTCATTTCATTGTCTTCTAGCTTCTATTGTTTCTATTGAGAAGGGGGCTCTCAGTTTAATTGCTGAGCCCCAAAAATCCTGATGATTTTTTTATTACCTCCCCCCACCCAGGAACTTGACAATGAGGGGTGTGTGTGTGTGTTTGTGTGTTTAAACAAAACTCCAGATTTTTATTGGGATTTCATTAGTTTTCCCATGAATTTTCTCTTTCTATTACAGGATCCAATCAAGGCACTATATTTTGTTTAGTTTTCAGGTTTCCTAAGTCCCCTTTGGTCTGTGAGAGCTGCTCAGATTACCCTGTAGAATGTCCCACAATCTGAATTTATCTGACATTTTCCTCATGATTAGACTAGGATTACGGGATTTTGCAAAGACTATCAGATGTGAATCTTACTTCGGTTCTATGGGAAATATCAAACTAGTTGTTAATTGTCACACAGGAAATAGCAATATAGTCATCAAATATAGGAAAAAATCAAATTTTATTGGACAATAATATTAAATTCCATTTAAATCTTGTAATTCTTTGACATTGAAGGTGTATGGCTGACTGCTCTCTGGATCCTGGACCTAATACAGATGATCCAAACAGGGGCGGAATGGCCAGACAGCACAGGAGGTGGGCCTGTCCAGTTCTCTCCAGTCAGGAGTACTCAAGGCCAGGGGTTCCGAGAGGTCCAGAGTATTTGGCATAGGAAAGAAGTATGGCTTGGTGCAAAATACAACAATCCCAATTCAATTTTACTATCCCCACCTCCACCTGTCCAAATCCTGGTGCAAGCCCTGCCCTCCACCCTACCACTTGAGTCCACATTTGCTTCCAGATTCTTAAATCACTCCAATCTGGCAGTCAAAAATGTTTGGTTTTCATATTCTATCACCTATTCCCTCCTTCATTCAGGCACCAAGCTCTCTATCCTCTACTTCTCTGAGGTCTTCGCAGCCTGTGCCAAGTGTCAGACTCCAGTGTATAGAATCTCCAACCCAAGGAGTGGAATGGGATTGAGGTATGGGGGCCAACCTAGGAGAGGAGGTGAAGTGGGGGCTCCTGTGCAGCATCCCATGCCCCACACCACCCTGATGAAGGCAATTCCTCATCCAGAAGGTATAAGTGGCCATTCCTTAGCCTGCAGTCTTGGTTCTGCCTAACCAGTGAATTTAAGATTTATTTATTCATGCATATAAGAACTGGGCTACAGACCAGAAGTGTGGGGGGTGAAAGGATTCACCAGAGACAGAGTGGAGAGCAGAACAGGAAGACTGACTGAAATACACTGCTGAGGGGAGCAGCAGACGAGTCACGAGATGTCTGTGCCATGTGGGTCAACTTCCTGGCCAGGGATCAAACTCGAATCTATTCCCGTCCTGACAGTAAACAGGTAAAGTGTGGATGAGAGAGTGTGAATACGTGTTCAAGTTTGGGTATTTGAGTGTGAGAGAGGGCGAAGGCTGGCACTGAAGTCAGGTCATTCCTGTTTCTACCACCTGAACCCCAGAGTAGAGGAAAGTGAGCTCCAAATACAAAGGCCAAGTTTTTGATACAGGAAGAGGTAGGCCCAGCCACAGGTTGGGAAGGAAACACAGATGTCTATCCCAGAGCACCAGAGCCTTAATCTTTCTTCTAGAAAAGATCCTAGACCACACTAGTGGCCCGGGCCTTTGGAGGTCAGCTACCCATCCCGCTCCTACCATGAGGAATCTGAAGGAAGGTGGGCCAAGTCCCTCTCTCCCAAGTATGTTTGTTCCCCAAACAGGGCCCTGAAGCTCCACAAATCATCAACTTCCTGTCCCCTGTGCACTGCAGGGCCAACTGTGATACCCTGATCCAGGACAGGGCCTATGGTGGAGATATGGGGAGTGAGACGCTCAAAGCTGACTCTCTGGGGGGGTCTCAGAGGAGGCTCCCCAGGGCTTCCTGTCCAGGTTGGTGCCGAGCTGCACTAGGGCAAAGCTCCACTGAAGGTCATGATGGGCAGGCAGAGGAAGGAGCAAAGGTCAGATGCAGCCTGGGCAGATGGGAAGGGGGACTTCTGGGGTGGGGAGTGCAGACTGCTCTTCTCTGGCTTGTAACAAGGTGAGACCTCACACCTGTGGGCAAAGCAGGAGTAAGGGCAGGCCTCCCGTCCCTTTGGCTTCTTCCAGGCCTCTGGGTAGGGGGTTGAGCTGAAACAGACCCCTTTCCTGAGACCCCCACTTTACAGAAACAGTCTCGGCCCCCCCTTTCCTACCTAATTACACTCTGCAGGATCTTCCTTTCATCTTGGTCCAGACACACGGCAAAGGAGCAATTGGAGCCAATAATCTGCACTTTGTCCACTTTGATCTGTGATGTGCTAATCTGGAAGGCAGGCTTGGGTCAGCCACTAGAGCCCGTCCAGAGAGCCGCCAGCCCTCAGCCCTCCCAACCAGATCTGGCAGGTAGGAGCAAGAGCTTGGCTGGCAGCACTCCTGGGCTAATGGCCAATTCAGCAGAGGGGAACTAAGGCCTCAATCAGGCCCTGCCTTCCCTCTAGCCTCTACCCTCACCCAAGTCTGGAAGAAGCCAGGGCCCCCTGAGGATAAACTGTACTGCCCACTGTCCACTGTCTGCCCCAGGAGAGTCCCCAGGTTCCCTGACAAGGAGCCTGCTCTTTGGACTCGAGCAGGCTCTCTAGAGTCCACCTCAGAACCTTCCCACATATACACATCAGCTCATAAGGGTACCCCTTCCTTCCACATGGCACTCTACATGTGTGTAAACCCCCAAACTTCACCCCTCACCCTGCTTCTCCTCTCCTGCCCTACATGCACCACTGGTACCTCGACACCCCTCCTCTCTCTCATACACATGCATCCTTGCACAAGCACACACACTACATATGCACATCCCTGCACATACACACCTTGCACATGCACAGTCATCGCCACACACACTCATGCACCCTTGCACATGCACACTCATCCCTGCACACACACGCACCCTTGTACAAGCACTCACCCCTGCACACACAATACATCTCTGCACACACACCTGCATATGCACATCCCTGCACATACACATGCATCCCTGCACACACCCCTGCATATGCATATCCCTGCACATACATGAGCACACACATGCCCAAAGCGTCTCCTGAAGGTGGTGTTGGAAGAGAGGGGAGAACTTACCTGGTTAAAGCCCTTCCTGGATTTGGGATTCTGCCTTTTTATGACTTCTGTCAGGTTTAGCGTCAGGGTCTCCATGCAGGAGTCTGAAGAGGAGGGTAGGGAGGCTTAGACCAGGCTCAGAAGCCCTGCCCTGCACCACTGGCTTCTCCCCTCCGCCCTGCCTAACCCCTCACCAAGCTCTTCCTGCTTCCTGCAGGCCTTGTTGAGGTTGATGGAGGTGCAGACCTTCTCCATGTTGCTCCAGCGACTTCGCCCACTGATGGCCCCCTGGAAATGCAGCAAACTCAGATCCTCTCAGTCCAGGGGTTCCCCAGGGCTTGCTGCCTTTGCTTCAAAGAGGCTCCAGACCCACCCAGTGACTGGGAACTGCCTACAGTCAGCACAGCCCCAGAAGTTCTCTCTCACCCAGGTCTGCAGTGTCTTCACCAAAAGCTCTCTGACCCCTGTACAGACCTCCAGGAGGAGCAATGGGTCACTGGGCTGGTGTGAGGGTCAGTCTGTAACCAGATCATAGGTCACCAGAGGTGAGAGCACCTCAAGTCTTGAAAATGTTTTGTTGAATCCATCTGGGCCAGGAGGAGACTGCCTTAGGCACGGAGTTCCAGAAGAGCCAGGTGGGAGCCTCTACTCTGAGTCCCTGTCTGTCTCTCTCATCAGAGCACTGTGTTGCTAACCGCAGGGACACTTCTCAGTCCTCACCTTACTGACCTTATTGATTCTGCTGATCACTCTCCTTGCCTGGGCTTCCAAAATGGCACACCCTGCTTTCCCCACCACCTGTGTAGCTGGTGCCTCTCTGCTCTGTCTGCAGCCTATGACACAAATCTCAGGACTTCACCAAGGCCCGCTGCTCTGCCATCCAGCTTTCTCCATTAGGGGACCTCACCAAAGCCCTTTTTGTTACCATCTATATACCCATCTTCATTTTTCACCTCTGGGTTCAGGCTCATATGTCCAGGAACATATACAGCTCCGGGGTGGGAGTCAGGGGAAGGACCTGGAGCAGATCTTGGAGGGGAATGGCCTATTACGGGTCTTACCTTGCTGTAAATAATCTGTAGTGTTAGAGGGACGGCCTCCCGGTCGCCGTCAATGCCCAGCCGCTTGCTGCCAGGACCTGTGCCACACACAGACCCTTCACTCCTCTCTTCTGGAGCCCCTCACAGTACCCTGGGGCAGCTCCCCTCCTCAGGGCCCAACCTCGGGACCCCTCCTAACCCTGCCCCCAGGGTCCCACCTCCTGGGCCCTCTGGCCCAGTCTCCCTACCAGCTCCATCACGATTGAGGCAACACACACCTGAAGCCTTGATGGCACGTGTGGCAGCAGAGTGACCCAGTTCCAGGGAGTGAATGAAGATCTCTGTCGTCTTCTGCCCAGTGATGAAGGTCAGCTAGAGAGGGCAAGGACCTGGGCATCAGTGTGGCCATCCCTGAGGTGCCCACCAGGCTCCTCCAAACACAGGGCTGCTAACTGCTATGGGGCGGGGGGCAGACCCTCTAGGACTGGCAGGGCACAGGCCAAGACCTGGCTATGCTGGATGCTGAGGGACACCTGCCTGAGCCTGGGGAGCAGGGTGCACCTTACCTCTGTCTGATACACCTGCAGCAGCACTGGCCGGGCAGCAAAGCGGCAATAGTAGAGCAGCATGTCTGCCAAGATGGGCAGCGGGGTAGGGGAGCCTTCCATGGACCGGGGTTCGGCCTTCAGAGACTGAGGGGGCAGGCAGGGGAGCCAAAACCAGAGGGACAGAAAGTCAGAGAGAATACGAAAGGAAGAGATACAGAGAAGCATGTGCACACATACACGTGCATACATGCCCACAGAAGAGAGATACCAAGGTAGAGAACCAGGAGGGGGATGATGATATGGAAGCAAGAAACAGAATGGTCAGGTCAGGCCCGCAGCCCAGACTCCTTACCCCTCCTGCCCTGGTGCATGGGCCATCAGGGACGCCCATGGCCATGCCGGATGAAAAGGACTTGAGGATGGGGACTGAAGCTTCAGGTCCCTTCAATACTTCTAAGTACCCCACCTGTCATTGCAGCAATTCCACCCCTTGCCCCCAGTACCCTGGTCCAAGCTCCAATCTACTTCTCACCCTGGTCCAAGCTCCAATCTACTTCTCCAATCTACTTCTTTTTCCAGCTAGCTAACCCTGGTTTTCCATGGAGACCCCAATCTGGATCCCCCCAACCAGGGCCTTCTAAGCAAGGCTGGGTGACTGCAGCAAGTGACCCTCTCCTCCCACCTTGGGCCTACTCACCTGGCACAGGACTTCAGGGGGCAGGTGCATGAGGCCCAGCACGTTGCGCTCATACCAGGGATCAAGCATGCCAAGGTAGTAGGAGATGTCATTGGTGCTCTCCGCCCATGGAACCGTGCCCAGCTCCTGGGGCAAGGGCCAGAGTCATTCCCAGCTACCCAGGAGGCCTGCCATCATAGCTCCAGACCCCTGCTGGCATCTGCAGCCACTCTGATTTCTCCCTGCCCTTGGTGAGGTCTGACAACTTTCAGTCTGTATCATATAACACAATGTCACCCCCAAATACAGGGCAGGGACCATTCATAGGGGTGAAGGTCAGGCAGGACAAGGCACCCTATAAACACAGCTGATTGTATGGTTGGTTTTTTTTTTGTTTGTTTGTTTTGTTTTGGTTTTTTTTTTTTGGTGACTTTCAACCAGCTCCCTCCAAGTGACGGGAACCCACTTATGTCCACTCTGCTTTCCCACCCCATTTGGTGCAAGGCTGGAAACATACTGCAGGGCTGGGGTGCCTTGGGGAGTCTGTGGCTAGTGGGGGCATCTGACTCGGAGGGGCTGGGCCGGTGCTGGAGCCAGTCCCATGGTTTCGCTTCACGGGTACATAGAAGAATTGAAGCTTGAAGAACCGTGTGAGGAGCGGACGATTATTCTCCAGTTGCCTGCAAAAGAAGAGGGTAAGGGGGTGCTCCTTGGTCCCTCCCAGAGCCTCAAGCTTCAGACTACGCCAGCATCACCACCTGCCACCCAGCAAAGAGTGATGCTCCCCATTACAGCTCTTACCGAAGATTGCTGTATGCCCGAGCCACCTTCCCTGAAATCCGATCAGAGCCAAACACCACAACACGAAGTGTGGAAGCCTTAGGGTCCTCGTCTCCGCTCAGAAAGGGGCGCCGGCGCCGGATGCGTGAGGCAGGTGCCAGGAGCCAGCTGGGCAGCTGGTTGCTGAGCTTGGTCTGGGGCAGGGAGCGGGAGCGCTGGGCCCGGGTGGGGGACAGTGCCGAGTCACCCGGGGGGCTGCAGAGGCTCTCGGTCCGCCGCAAGAACAGGGCTGTGTCCGAGTTGCCCTCCAGGACCCGAGAGTCCCTCCGCAGGACCAGCTGGCTGGTGCTCTTTAAGAGTTTATAGATCCTATTAAACTTCGGCCCAGATCTGCGGTGGCTCCGGCGTTCTTGGCGGTCAGACTTCTTGGGACACTCAGAGCAGCTCTCCTCACTGTCCTCCACGTAGCCACTGTCCATGCCATCTGAGAGGCCTGAGACAAAGGACGTCAACCGGTGGGGGAGGTCAGTTCCTGCGGCCTGGGATGAGGCAAGAGACAGAGTGGAATCTTGGAAGGCCACCGGGCTGGTGGAGAGCACTGAGTCCCTCTCAGCACAGTGTCCATCGGCTTCCAAATCCTCCTCTTCCTCCTCCTCCTCCTCCTCATCATCATCATCGTCCCGCAGGATCCCTGGCTGAAGCAGCTCCTGTTCCTTAAGCAGGATTTCCTTTAGGATGTCTGCAGGGAAGCAAGGGAAGGCACCATTTGGGGGTGTGGGCCCTTGAAGCCTCTCATGCACACCCTTGGAAGGAACAACGAATGGACTCAGACAAAATGCACTTGGAGAGAAGAGGGCAAAAGGAGAGTCAAGGTGGGTCCATCCTGGACTCAGACTACTGCTCTTGCTCTGTTTAGAGCCTATTCAGGAAGGAAGGGTGGTGGGGAGCAGGGGTGAGAGGCAGTTATATTGATCCCCGATTGGGAAGAGAGCCCTGGCAGCTTGGGGGTAGACACCACAGGGACCCCCACTGTCTGCTTACCAAAGCTGTCCTGGTTCCAACTGCAGGTGTAGCACCTGGCCACAGGGATGGGGATGGTACGGAGCTTGCCGGGTTTTGTGGTATCTGTAAGAACAGACAGACAAGAGTGAGGGCTGGGAAGGGGGTCTTGGGATTGATCAGCCCAGTGCCCTCATCTTAGAGAAGAGACCAGAATTGGGAGAGGACTCTGGTTCCATCCTTGGGCGGGCTCAGGCTGAATTGGAAGCCAGATGCTGTGCTCTTAGCCAGAGGGCATTCTTCCAAGTACGCCATGTAGATGCCATGCCCTCTGATAAGCTGTGTGAATGTGGCCAGGTCACGAGCTCTGAGTCTCATTTCATAGGGACCAAAGGGGAAAAAGCATTATCTCATCAGGTGTTTGTGAGGAATACTGTGTCCTTTCTTCTACGGTGATGGAATTGTAGAGAGGCTGTTTCCCAGACTCTTCAGGGCCAGGTGTGACCGCCTGACTGAGACCAGCTCACAGGGATACTTGGAGATGAGATGCAAGCAACTTCTGCATTATCTTCAGTATAAATATGAAGCCCCTTGCCTTCAATTAGCCCTATCTTTTTCCTTTTCCCACAAGTTGCCACATGATGGCAATGCAACCCTAACCCTACAGACAGGACCCAAGCCCTCAGAGATGTGGAGCAGTAAGACATAATGTTGAAGAACCTGAATAATGACTCTGTGGAGCAGAACCACCTGGACTGCTCTCTGGAAGCGAAAACAGGTGCTAGGGAGGGTGGGTTCCACCTTCTTAAGAGCCTCACCCAAGACACTGGCGATGCCGGCTTTCTCTCCCACGGCCTGCAGCTTGGTCCTGAGCCACTGCCGGGCCTCAGCTGCATCCCCAATGCCAGCTGCCAGCTCCTGTGCCTCTGCAGTCTCCGTGAAGATGTCCTCAAGCTCTGTCAAGGTCTTGGACTAAAAGCCCAGAAAAAGACAGGCTTGCTCCTGTACCAGGTCTGCTTGATTTTTGCAACCCCCAGGGCCTCAGCAAGGGCAGCAGATGGCCTTATCACCCACCTCTACCCACAGCTGCCCAGGGAGTCTGGTCTCCCTCTCATCCCCTGTGATCAGGAAATGGTCATGAGCAAAAGGTGTAGAATCCTGGCACTACAGAGTTGGGACTTCAGAGCTCATCACTGTAGCCCAGAGAGAGGAGAAGTGGCTGCCCAGGCTCACACAACTGACCTGTTCACAGATCAAAGCCAGATCTTCCCACTTCAATCTCAAGTTTGTTCCTCTACCATCCAACCCACGCTGGCTTCTGAGGCTCTGTGCCCCACTGCCCAGAGTACTACCCACCCCTGTCCGGACCCAGCCCAACAGAAATCCTCTCCATGAGGCCAGCCACCCCACCCTGCCCTGCCTGGTCACTCAGGGTGAGATCGGCCTGTGTGCCCCAGTGACTGCAGCACTGACATGGAGCTGAGGGGATTCCGCCTCCCCAGAGAAGAGCTCTGCCACAAGGGGGCAGTGCTGAGCCCTAGGTCTCCAGGCACATACCTGCAGCCTGCAGTGCAGACCTGGCAGGTCACACTGGGTCCCAAAGGTGGCTTGGAAGGCATGCAGGAGCAGGGTGGTGTAGGCACTGTGGGGTGAGGGTCTGGGTGCGCTCAGTTTGTTGGCCACGGCAAGAAACTCGGCCTGCATCTCCACGGGGTTCAGCAACAGCACGGTGCTAGGGGCACAGAGGACTGGCTGTGGGCATTGGGCACACGGTCCCTCACATCTTATGCCTGCTGGTGCTCGGCCCCATGAAGGCTTCCTCATTGCCATGCAGGGCCTGAGGCCAGGAGGAAGGCTGGGCGGGGCGGGGGGTGTCACGTGTACCCCAGCTCCTCGGGGAAAGCTTATGGCCTACTTTTCAGTATTCTTCAATTGATGTTTTCAAAGACCTTGTAAAATTAAACTTAAATTTTAAGAATAAATTTTACCCTAATTTTTAATATAAACACTTTTCTTACAGGACATGAATGAATGCAAGATTACTCAAAGAGGACTGTATTTTAGGTGAGGTGACTTGAAGCCCAGTGACCATTTTGTTATATAAGATGCCTTTTTAATTACAGGTTCTGGCCCAGAAAGTTTAGACAGATGTTGTTTTAGTAACCAGAAGAGAGACATCAGGGAAAGACCATGGGTGTTTGAGGAAGACTGAGGTTCAGATCCTGGTTCAGACATTTATTGCCTGTGCGACCTTACAAAAGTCACATGGCCTCTCTGACCTGCAGTTTCTTCATGAAAAGTGGGGTACGTATAGTGAGATAATGTGTACCCAGCACCTGGCTCAATCAGTGCAAGCAGTTTTTAACTTTTTTTTATTTTTCCAGTCTCAGACCCAGTTAGGTATGTAATAAAAGATCCTTAGATTAGAAAAACAATCCGGTGTACAAAACATCACTAGCAGTTCCAGGGCATTCCACTCCTTAAAGTCTGACTGTTGCTGGCTGGGGTGGGGTGTGGTTGTATAGTGATGGATGCATGGAGAAGGGGGTGGAGGAATGGTGGACGATGAGGTGGGGGCTCCCCAGTTCGTCTTCCCAGAGGGCACTCACACAGTGGAGCTGCGGTGACTCCTAATGGGTAGGCCCTGCTCAGCCCTCACCAGTCGCTGGTAGGAGATTCCTGTGGCCAAAAACACAAAAACAGTTCATGGGTTTAATTACTCCTTCAGCAGTGAGCCCAGCACTGGAAATGTCGGTTGGAAGTTCCTGGATGAAGTTCAGGACAAGGAGCACATTAGATCTGTGGCCTCCTGGGGCCTTTAATGGTCTGATTCCCAGGCCCTGCCTCAGCTCTACCGGCCCCCACCTTACAGATGGGGTGTATGCAACTTCTGCATTATCTTCAGTATGAAGACGACTCTTCAGAGACTTGGGCAGAACACCCTGGGAGGGAAGTGAGGCCCACGAGGCTGCTGGGTCCCCGCCTGCCACCTTCTGAAGTACTGTGCTCTGCCCCAGCTCTCCCTCTCCGTTCCTATCACTGCTCCCCACCCTGACCTTGATGTCCTCCAGTGCCAGACACCCTCAGTCTGTTCACTGTCTCAGCTGTCTCCCCCTCTGCCAGGCTTCCCACACGCTCTCGGGGGAATAGTGGTCTTTCCTGGTGTGGTCCCTCTAAGTCTGAGCCTGCAACACAGTCCCCTCCCAGCCCTTCCCTCTGGTATCCTCCACTTCTCTGTCTCCTCTGACTTCAAAAGTTCAGAGAAGAAAGGAGCCAAAAAGTTTTTCTTTTTTCCTGCAATTTGACTGAGCCCTGTAACTGAAAGACAGATCCTTCACAGTATGTATCCGGGTTTGTGTCAGCAACAGTGAGATAAAACAACAGTGAACTCTCCTCCCTGACAAGGGTGTCAGAAGCAGGGCCTGGTCTCAGAGGTGCAGGCAGCCTTCTTCTTCAATTGGAAATCATCTGGGGGTGTCTGTCACTGGTGGGGGGCACCCTGGACTGGGTGTGACCTGGGAGCAGGACCACTATCCCTCAGACAAGTGCAAAGAGCCAACACAGGCTGATATTTGGCCCATGGCTGAATATTACCCATTAATGTGATTCTAACTCAGGGCCTGGTTGCTTTGATTTGGGGCCTGATGTTTGATTTTTTTTTTTTAGGGAATTTTCATATGCCTAGAAGTTAATATTATGTTTGTTTGTTTGCATGTTTTATAGGAATGTCGCTGAAACTGTGGCTCTTATTACCAGGACTCAGAACACCATCTGGTGGCTACTCACATGCATGACAGAGAAAAGCTCCTCTCAGTGTCCCTTTGCCCCCCAGGATAGTGCCATAGTGGTGACAAATGCTTATTCCCTGTAATCTCCCTGGCTGCAAACCCCAGCTTTCTCTGACCTGGACTGCACTTTCATTATGTAGTGTTTTTAATGGATAACTCACATTCTGCTAATTAATTTCTTCACCACCAGCCCCCATTATGCCTCTGTGGACAGAGACCATGTTCTTGGGGTTGGTGGCCCCTGAAGTCACTCTCCTTCCATATCAGGTTCCCCCCAAAATTCCCTGCTGTAAGTTCCCAATCACACTGTCCCTCACCAAACCTGCCAATGCTTCCCCAGTCACAAAGCCCCACGCCTCAACCTTATAATCACTCTACTCAGACTGCCCTTTTTGAGTGTTTGATACTGTGGATCATTTGCTCCCTGAAGCTCAGTCTTCTCCTTTTGTGACAAAGAACATTCTTGAACACTTATTTCCCCACCTGTTTATCGTAGGACACTTTAATGGCCTCTTTTTGAGACTGTGATAGTCAGAACTGGAAGCTGCTCCCTACTAGCTATTAGGTTATAACACCATATAACCTGGCTATTTGCCTGATTTTGCTGCATAGATGGGGACATTTGGGTTATCTGTGCCCTTTGGCATGCCCTAACCCTTAGGAAGTTGTTCCCAAGGCCAGTGGCTAGTGCTGAATGTACAGCAGTCCCCAAGTAGAGTATGAGATCTGCCACCTCAGCCAGATCTGTCTGGGTCTTCTAGGTCACTCTCACTACTAAGTAATATATAGCAACAACTTCTAAGCATCTACCCATGTCTATCCCCCTTCCTGACTAAGAGGACACTGGGCAATGTGCCCACGTAACAAGTTATATTTCTCAACCTCCATTGCAGAAGTTGTTGAGTGGGGTGGAAGACCGCTTTTTATGACACCCCTCATTTCCTCCTTTCTGTTAGTTGGAATAGGATCATGATGACTGGAGCTTCAGCAGCCATTTTAGACCATGAGGTGACCTAAGAGCAGAAAGATGGGAGATGGCTGGTGCGGGTGATACTTGGGACCACCAGGATAAGCTTGGGCTGCTTTCTTCTGGATTCTTTTTTAACAATAGAAAAAAAAATAATTGCTATGAGTTTAAGTCATTAGGTTATAATGGGCCTTTCTGTTATAGGGAGTTGCTTATTCCTAACTGATCACACCCTGGGATTTCTGGAAAAGCTCCTCTCCACTCTTTTCCCTAAGTCACCCCTTGTGATATTGTGATAGAAGAAAGACTATATATGCTCATCATCCCAGTCCCTGGGACAGAGCTCCTAAACCCTAGGAATTTCCTGAGAGGAACATTTTCTATTACTAATAACAAGTATCTTAAACCACACCTGAGTTTATGCTAATAAGGTGACTATTGGTGGACCCCCAGATAACTTCTCAGTGGGGGCTGGTTACCTGAAGGAACCAACCATGTGATTAGAATGTTGGAATTTAAAGCCCCCCTCAACTTTTGGGCAACAGTCAAAATTTAACCAACTAGGCCTGTAAAAGAACTTCCATAAAAACCCTAAACAATGGGGTTCAGAGGGTTTCTGGGTTGGTGAACACATCCATGTGCTAGGAGCATCCCAACTCCATGGGGGAAAGAGCCCCTTATGCTTGGGACTCTCCCTGACCTCAGCCTATGTACCTCTTCATATGACTGTTCACCTCTATCTTTTATAATATCCTTATAATAAGATGGTAAACATAAGAAACATGTTTTTCTGAGTTCTGTGAGGCATTATAGCAAATTATCAAACCTGAGGAAGGGGTCATGGGAACCTCCAGTTTATAGCCAGTCAATTAAAAATACAGGGGATTCAGATTTGCAGTCGGTGTCTAAAGTGGGGACAGGTGGTAGGACAGAGCCCCTAACCTCTGGGGTCTGTGCTAACTCCAGGTGGGTGGTATCAGAGCTAAATGTAATCACTGGACACCCAATTGGTGTCCGGAGAGCTGGAGAATTGGTTGGTGTGGGGAAAACCCTCACACATTTGGTGTCAGAGTGTCCTATGAATAAAAATAGCAGAGATTCTCAGCTACTCATCAATGATGTTGAATTTCCTTCAAGGAGTATGAACCTTTCAATCAGAGACAAAAAGTAGAAAATGCAAATGCCTCTCATGGGTAATGTCCTAAGAAGAACAATGCCACTGAAGAATATTCAAAATTCACCTGCCACCCATTAATAGGCAAAACTGACCTAATCCAGGTTTGTTCCTGCTTTGATAAGGGGCCTAAAGGTGGGAGGTACTAAGTGTCTGAAACAGGCAGGAGAAACTGTCAAAGGAGGGCAGTGCTTAGGCAGGTGGGACAGGCCAGGGTCTCTGGTCACACACATTCACCTGCCCATTTCTTTTGGTAGAAACACAGCTTTAAGCAAATATGAGAACACTTTTTTTTGGAATCATATAGATACAGGTTCAAGTGGTGGACCTCTTGTTAGCTCTGTGACCATGGTTAAGCTAAGTGACTTAACTGTCTAGTCTTCGGCTTCATTATCTGAACAATGGGAATAATAGTAACAATCCAGGAGGATGTTCTGAGCATAGAATAGACAGACCCTGAGCAGTGTTTAATGCACAGTAGGCACATGTTAAATGCAATTCCATCTCCATCATCATGAACAACAATTACAATCCTACTTTTGACAAGGAGGTTCAGAGAGCTTCCATAACCTGTTGTAGTGAGAAATCATAGTTCTCTATTATAACAAAGTTCATGTTTCTTCTCTGACTTTGTGTCTTGGCAAACATTAAACTTCTCTGTCTTGGTTGTCTCATGTAGGAAATGGGAATAATGTTGCTTTTCTCTCTTACTCCACAGGGCTGTCATCTGGGAGAGATGCAATAACGAAGATCTGTATGCTTTAAAAACTGGTCCTCCCTGGTGGCACAAGGGGTTAAGCGCCACACTATGAAGCTGTCCGAAGCCTCTGCAGCATGAGTTCGATCCCCAGCAGGCCAGGGCGCAACCCACATGGTGCAGCAGACCTCTCCTGTCTCATCCCCTAAGCAATATATTTCAGTAGATCTGCCTGTTCTGCTCCCTACTCTGTCTCTGGTGAATCCTCTCACCTCCCTGCATCTCTGGCCTGTACTCCAACTCTTGTATGCATAACTAAATCAATCTTGCAGCCAAGTACTGTGGTCTACGCAACCATGCAAACACAGAGTAAATATTCAACAAACATTTGGGTTGAACCCAAGTGTGTTGTGGTGGGCAGCACCTAGCAATACTGACATGAAATTTCCTGCCACCCCCAGAGGGGAGGTAGTAGGTAACCCTATTGGAGTAGAGTCAGGAAGAAGGGGGTGGCCCACAGACTTGATAACCTGTCTGCTTCCTCTGCCAGTCAGCCACATCAAAGTTTGAAAAACTTTCATTCATCTCCATGGCAACTCCACCCTAAGCCCCATGGGTGGAGGGCCTAGCACCCCCAAGTGTCATCTCCTCCCTGTGTCCGTGCTCTGACCTATCTTTTAAGCTGGCATCATCCCCCACCCTGATGGCCCCAGCAACGTGAACCCATGTAGGCAAGCACTGATTCTCACAAATTGATCTCAAAGGGAGCCATTACTATACTCCCATTTTGCAGATGAGGAAAGCAAAGCTACTATAAGTTAAATGTCTTGCTAAAAGGCCCACCACTCCAGGGTTTGAAACGATGATGGTCCACTCCCAAGTACTGACAAGCACCAAATGATTCAGCCTCAGCTTCTCTGGGAGCTCGTCCCCTGACCTCCATTCTAACCTCCACACCATTTCCTCTTATTACCCTCCTCTGCTGGGATTATTGGAGATGGGGACACTCAGAAATAGGCAACAAAATTATCACATGCTTTTACAAAATTACAC